GCTACCCTTCCATCCCAAGTATGTATAATTTTTCCACATCACGAAAGTCCCCAGCGTGTGTTTCTCCCTCTACTGGAAGCCTGATGAGTGTTGTCTCCTCTTCCTTCCTGTATCTCCTGCCTCCTGTGTAGGAAAACTAGGCCTAATACTAGACACCCGCTTTCCCAGGAAGTTGCCCCTGGATCTCCTCCTCATGGTCAGCCAAGGCTGGTTAGGACGCCTCCTGCATTTCCATCCAATCTTGATTTATCTCCACACTCTGCACGGGGATGGCTGTCCTTCTCTTGCTGTGAGCTCGTTGAAGGTAGAAAGCATTTTCTTTTACATTCTGTTTAGTGTGTGTGTGTGTGTGTGTGTGTGTGTGTGTGTGTGTGTGTACATGCCACAGTGCATGTATGGAGAGCTGAGAACAAGTTGAACTTGGGACATCGGGAGGTTTGGTGTCTGTGCACACTTAGCCGTCTTCCTGGCCTAGAAAGACTTTCTCTCGTTTGCTTTTGTATCCATTATAGTTGGCGGAGGGCCTGGAGGGCCATGCGTGTTTGGCATATACTGATGAGTGCACAGATCTCATTTCTTTACACCCACCCACCTGCACCCTGACTCTTCCACCCCAGCTTCCACAAGTTTTAACATTATTAATAACCAATGTCTCTACAGCTGCCCTCTATCATACGCTTGCTGTTGTCCCAGTATTTTACTGAGCACTTTTTATCACACGCTCTAGTTCAGTCCTTACTGCCCGGAGAGGCAGTGTTATGACCTGAGTCTGATAACTTTATTTCAAGCAGAAGTGTCCAGCCTTTCGACCTGCCAATATGGCACTGCCAGCCACCAACAGGCTGCATGGAATCACAACTATCCCTGGGACGTGTGTGACCCAAGGGCACAGGTGGGATGAGTCTGCCTCAAAGTGGAGCCCTTCCTAACTGGCTCCAGCGCCACCCAACGTCACTTACGTCATCTCATGGGTTTGCTCCGGCCCTCCCGGGGGTCTCTGACCTCCCTCTCATTCTTGCCTCCCTGGTCGTCAGTTCTGACGACAGAAGCTCCAGTGACATCATCAGTGACCTCAGTAGACTCGTGCAATGAGTTCGGACAACGGAAGCTCCAGTGACGTCATCAGTGACCTCGGCGAACCTTCTGGGCTTATCTGATCACTGTCACAGCTGGCTCTGACACTAGTAGCCACTCCTGCCTGTGCTCACTTTCCAGGCATTGTGTGGTTGAGGCTTTGTTCTTAGCTCTTTCCTTTCCTGCTCCACGCCCTATCTTCAAGCATCTCTGAACTACGGATCCCACTGGCACCTCGGTTTCTCTCCGTCACCCAGGAGCTGTATGGCCAGGGCCTCTTTGCTGCCCTCAGTGACTTCCACAGAGGCCACGCTCAGTCACCCTTTAGGCTTCATTGTTCCAACCAGATCTGTCCCAGCAGCCTCTTCCCTCCTCAGTTGTCACCCGCGCAGTGCCCCACGTGAAAACCTCGTCAGAAGTGTCTGTTCCTCAGCAGACGAATGGAAGAAGAAAATGCGGTATACACGGGCAGTGAAAAAGAAGAAAAGCATGGCTTTTGTAGGAAAAGCGGTCCAAATGGAAACCATTATGTTAGGTGAAATGAGACAGACTTGGGGAGACAAGCACCATATGTTTTCTCTCACATGTAGACCCTAAATTAAAATTACATGTGCGTACTTTTTAAATCATATCTCTGGTGTTTGTGCACGGCAGAGCACCTGTGCAGGTCAGAGGACAACTTGCAGGTGTCAGCTCTCCCCTTCCACTTTGTGCATTCTGGTCAAATTCAGGTGTGATGGCAAGCACCTTCACCCACAGAGTCGTATCACCAGCCCATGTGTGTGTGCATGTGTATACATGTGTGTGTGCATATGTGCATGTGTATGTCCGTGTGCATGTGTGTGCGTGTGTATATGTGTGTGCATATGTGCATGTGTATGCATATGTCTGTGTGCATGTGTGTGCCTGTGTATGTGGGTGCATATATATGTGTGTGTGAACATGTATGTGTGTGCGTGTGTGCATGTGTGTGCATGTATGTCTGCATATGTGTATGTCTGTGTGCATATGTGTGCATGTATGTGTGCCTCTGTGTGTGTGTGACATGTTTGTAGGTCACAGAGCTAGCAAGGAGACCATGTGATGTGAAGAAGGGGTCTTAGAGGAGGTGGGAACAGGAAGGGGACAGAACCCAGAACCCTCACACAGGAGGAAAGCAGCTGTTGGAACTGACTGAGGAGACAGAGTGAATCAGCTGAAGGGGGGAAGGCGTGACATGGGGAAGGAAATACACAAGAACAAAGCACACCGATACACGTGTATGAAAATGCTGTAGCAGAGCCCTTTGCTTTATTAACCTAAAAAGTTAATATAAGAAACAGTTAAAATAATAAAAATGACTTGGTTTTGCTTCTGTCTTATATATACACTCATTAGCAAACCGCATTATTACCCACACCAAATCTCACACCTGTTTGCCGTATTTCTTCTCCACCTTCAGTGGGGTTTCCATAATTCAGTTACCGCATTTCCATAGCCAATTAGAATGGTCCCTAGGGTTCTTCGTGTTCATCCAATGGGTAGAACTTTTAACTTCTGTCTTGATTTCTCCAAGGCTCTCTTTCTCCTGGAGATAACTCTAAAATGCTTGGCATGAAGGCCAGTTTGATCAAGTCTCATCTGAGAGCCGACAGCTTTCCTAGGTTCACTTTGGAATTCTGGGTACTGAGGCAGGTTCTGCTCCTCCTGGGTCACCAGGCAGGTGCTGAACACTTAAAGTCACTTAAGTGACAAGTGTTGACAGTCAGTTCCTTAGCGCTTACAGTGGCCATCCATCTCACTGCTAATGCTCCCGCTAAGCAAGGGCTGTGGCAGAGGAGCGGTTTGCCTCCCCAGTTCGTGCTGCTGGACCCTCCCTTGCTGCTTTGACTCACACTTGAGCAAAAAGGTGATCAAAAATCCAGCTGGGTCTCTTTTGGGACTTGGCTCCAAGATGACCAAAAAAAGGAGAAACAACGGTCATGCCAAAAAGGGCCGCGGCCATGTGCAGCCAATTCGCTGCACTAACTGCGCCCGCTGCGTGCCTAAGGACAAGGCCATTAAGAAGTTCGTCATTCGGAACGTCGTAGAGGCCGCCGCCGTCAGGGACATATCCGAAGCAAGTGTCTTTGACGCTTACGTGCTCCCCAAACTCTATGTCAAGCTGCGTTACTGCGTGAGCTGTGCTATTCATAGCAAGGTAGTCAGGAATCGATCTCGGGAAGCTTAGAAAGACCGAACGCCCCCACCACGATTGAGACCTGCTGGTGCTGCCCCACAACCTCCACCAAAGCCCATGTAAAGTGGCTTCATAAAGATAGGAGAGAACACCTTGGAAAAATAAAATGGAACTTATACATTAAAAAAAAAATCCAGCTGGATTCATTTCTGTTAGCACCAGCCGTTCTGCACACTCCATAGATACCTTGAGAAAACCACACTATGGTCACAGCCGATTCATTCGGTTCTGGGATAGAAAGCCTCCACCGGGACTGTCCCAAACTGTTGATGTCAAACTTTCTGTTATCTAAAGCTTTGGTGGACTCTATCTGACCCCACAACCATTTCCTTGTAGGCTAGAGGTCTCACACTTTCCCTGGTGGTGTGGCCTGTACGAAGGGGACGATGTGAGGGGTCTGCTCTTCTCTGGCCGGTTAAGTAGCTGCCTAGCTCATTTGGTGAGTGGTCAGGAGACACTATAATGTGCAGACTCACATGGTCCCGTAGCATGAGGCCAGATAAAGTCTTCTCTGTTGTCTTTCTTGCCTAGTCTTAGTATGGTAGGCAAGCTTGCAACACGCAGAGGCAGGCAGATGCTGCTGGCAGCAGCTGCTAAGCAGTCAGCAGGCCCAACTGCAAAAGCAGCAAGAGAACTCTCCACTTGGCAGCTGAAGATGTTGAGCATTTCAAGAGATCACCCTTGGTAAGAACAGAGGGGATGGCGGGGCTATGCAGGGTAGAAGTCTACAAAGAGCCAGGAATTTGGGGCTAAGAGTCTCAGATTTCCCGGGCTCAGGAGTGGCAACACTGCTTGGGGACTGGTGATACCTAGGCCCTGAGGGCGAAAGATATTTGTCCAAGACATTCCTGTCACCTAGATGGTCACACACTCATCCCCTGAAGAGGAGCCTCCTAAGGGGATAGCATTACCTGCAAGCTCACGTGGAAACCAGCTGACACCAGATTATCTCATCAACTCCTGCTAGAGGTTTGTGTTTACAGCTGTTGGAAGCCACTAATTTGGAGGTAGCAGAGCAGAAGGCAGAGGCACAGAGAACAAGAAGCTGCAGAGCTCACAACCCCCAGAGATATGTACACGTGCCTTCTCCAAAGACTCGGGGATCGTTGCTGAAGAGGGGGCGGAAAGCGTGTAAGAGCCAGAGGCGGTTAGACTCCTACAAGAAAACTCTCCTGGACACAGCAGAGCAGCTGCATGTGTGACTGCTCAGAGGCTGTGACAACATGCCCAGACGTGTGAGCCTAAGGCAGACCAAATCTCAGCATGGGGAGAGGAGGCGAGCACACATTTCCATCCCCACCTGAGGGGCTATCGGCAAGTGTCCGTGGCTGGGAGAGGAACAGTCAGTTTTCTCTAAGCATGTAGCCCCTGATAAGCTGACCGACCATGGTCCTGAAGAAGGTCACACATCCAAAGATATTTGGGCATCATAAATTAACCTTGATGGGGTGAAAAGGGGCATAAAACCGGGTGAGAAGGGAAGGAGGCTGGATCTGCAGACAGTTAGGAGAGGAAGGGTGACCATGATCAATTGTGTTATATTAGAGTCTCAAAGAACTAATACAATTAGGTTTTAAAAGATAAGGAACTAAGCAACAATAAAAATCACGCCCATGTGCACGCCCATACACACACACACACACACACACACACACACATCGGGTAGTGGTATCTACACTCAGATTTCCACGCTGTAACTCTGCAGCATGTTGGAACTCAAAGGCACAAGGCAGCAGGGAGCGAATCCAGGAGTCCTGCCCATAGGTCAGCCAACCAAAGAGAGAACCAGACAGGAACAAAGGAGCAGGCTGTTACTGCTGTATTCAGAGCTGAGTGTGCCGGACAAACAGCTGCAGTCAGTCCAGCCTGCAGAAACTCCAAACCTACCTCCATTCCCTTAGGGGCTCCTGGTCCAGTCGCTCCCCCATCCCTGTTCTAGGCAAAACAACAAACAGGGGTTTGTTTTGCAGCTGGAGAGGAAGTTCACATTTCCAAGACGGCAGCCTGAGTCTGAACACAGACATGCTTGCTCAACTCGTGTGGGCTGAAGCGCCAAACGGGAACAACGACAGAGAAGAAACACGGTGGCGGAGCAGACTCACGCCCAGGTGCCAGTGACTCCTGTTCTCGGGGCAGAACAGGAAAAGGAGCAATTTGCTCTGGCAAGGCCAGGGGACAGAGTGTTAAATATAAACAGCTGCCTGCTTTGCAATGGTCTGGCCTGGAAGGCTCCATGGGGTAAGTCACAGAATTTTGTATTTGGTGTGGGTTTTGAATAGCTGCCCTGTGAGAAATCTCTCTTTCTCTCTCTCTCTCTCTCTCTCTCTCTCTCTGTGTGTGTGTGTGTGTGTGTGTGTGTGTGTGCGTGTGTGTGAGAGAGAGAGAGAGAGAGAGATGGCTAATATTCACTATCAACTTGATTGAATTACCTAGAAGACACACGTTTGGGCACATCTGTGAGAGTTTCCAGAAAGATGAATTGAGGAAGGCAGACCCCACTTGAAATGTGGGTGGCACTATACCATGGGATGGGGTCCCAGACTAAATTTAAAAAGAGCAAAGGCAAATGTTAGCTGAGTGTTCATGGCCCCCGCTTCCTGACCGAGGTACTGTGCGACTAGACACCTCAATCCTCACAGCATCATATCCCCATCACAAGGGACTGCACCCCCAAACTGTGAGCTAAAATAAACCATCCCTTCCATAGATTGCCCTTGCCAGGGTGCACAAGAGATACGATGCACATACATGTTGCATACACAAATACAACATTTTGTTTATGTATTACAACTCTTTGTATGTACCACGTGGCCAAGTTGACCTGACTGCATGACTTGGTTTTCCCAAACCGTTGTCAAGCCTGCTCTCGTCCTTTGGCCTGCCATCTGGGTGGCTGTATTGTGCTCTTCCCCTGGCCCTGTGATGCGTACATCAGCGCCCGTGATCTACATCAGCTGAACAGGACCTTCGCGCCTCACTCAAGGTTGACCTCATCCTGACCTCTCTCGCCTTTATCTTTGCTCCTCCCACTGCCTTCTCTTTGACATTATATGAGCTTGTGTTCATGTTGCTGTAAATTATTACATTTTTAATAATTGGGCAAGGCATTGGTAAATACATATCTAAACAGCATTTCCCAGAGAAAAGAGGGGAGAGCAGTAGACTCACATAGCCTGGTGGTAAACTTAATTTTTTTTTTTTTTTGCATTTGTGATTCTCTGCAACAACCGGCCAGGTCACCTTGGACTATCACAGAGGCTAATCTGATGTTTTAATAACATTTTAGGATTAACTGCATTATTCAACACTGCTTTAAAGAGACACGAACCGTAAAGCAGCTGCTCAAACACCTTATCACGTAATGTCATCAAGAAGACACCCTCCTCTCTGTCTGCACTGGGGCGACGGGAGGAACAGGGCTGCAGAACGCTGCTCCCGGGATCCATATTTAGGTCCTAACATTTTTAAAGTCCTCTCTCCAAAACCCATTAGTTACTTCAAAGGACTCGGCTTTGATCTTCAAGAGAAAAAAGGCAGCACGTTGAGTTGAACCAGAAGATAGCGTCTCCATAGGAGGACAGAGACAGTGATAATGGGTTTTCCACAGCACAGCGGCCAGTGCTGGAGGAGGACGAGGCTCCCTCTCTCTGCGCTGCCTCAAGAACCGAACTGGACCAGAGGGCTCCCCTCAGTGACACGAGGGACTTGCTCACAACTATATCTGGGTAACTTTTTGGCTGAACCGGGTGCTTTGCAATTCCATTCAGCCTTTGTCCTTCTGCAAGGGATTCCTGCGCTGCCTTAGACTTTTCTTGGGCCATCAGTGTATGCATAGGTCTTACATAGGGTCTCTAGATGCGGTAAGGAACCAATGTTACCAGGACTTTCACAGCGAAGATTACGCACATGAACACATATGTACACACACCACCTGTGGACAGGCAGATGATAAATAAGACTTGGGTTGGACAGATATCTGGGTTGGTAAGGTCCTGAGTTAGGGTCCCTAGCCCCCACGTAAAAAGCCAGGAGCAGCAACTGTGATCCCAGTGTCTGTGATCCCAGTGCTGGGGAGGTAGAGGCAGGAGGATGCCCAGAACTCACCTGCTTTACCAAATTGTTTGTAAGACTGTGTCTAAAAATATTAATAAAATGGAGAGTGACTCATGAAGACAAATAATATTGGCCTCAGACACATGCAAGTGCACGCACACACACACAGCAAAAAGGGTTTGGGAACTGGTGGGTAAGCATCCTGCTTTTCTTCTGTCAGAACTGGCACAAAGCTAAAGTATGATCCAACCTTTGGACATTGCTACATAGTATTGTCATCTATGAAGCTCATAGATCGTGTAACAAGAGTTACACAATTAGACAACGCTTTAAGTTTACCCTTTCGTCATAGACCGCATTCATTGCCGTCCTTGGCCGCATGTGCCCCACTGGCTACAGGTTGAACAACTGGACAAAGCAGGGTGATACGCCAGAGGTCCCCAGCAGGGCTACGTTCTAGAAGCCATAGTCAGAACACCCCTCACTTCACTGGTCACCTCTCCTTCCCTGTCTCACTCCTTACCCCCACCCACTCTGAATCCTAGGCTCACCTCCCAGGTAAACTTCTGGACTAGAACCTTTGTCTTACTGCTGCTTCCGGAAGGATCTACACTTGTGCACACACCTGCGAATAGGCTTGTTTTGTAACCTGTTTGTCTTAGTCACTGTTCTATTGCTGCAAAGAGATACTATGACTAACTCAACTCTATCTTTTGTTTTATTGAGATAGGATTTCTCTGTGTAGCCCTGGCTGTCCTAGAACTCTTTCCGTAGACCAGGCTGACCTTGAACTCAGATGTTCACCTGACTCTGCCTCCCAAACACTGGGATTAAAGACCTGTGCCACCATGGCCCAACTAATGTCGTAGATAGATGTTCTTTTTTGTTGTTGTTTTGTTTTCAACTCAACTATTATAAAGGAAAACATTTAATTGGGAGCTCATTTGCAGTTTCAAAGGCTTAATCCATTATCATCCTGACAGGGAGCATGGCAGCAGGTGGGAAGACAGGCACTGGAGGACTAGTCAAGAGGAGGTATCCTGATCCACAGGCATTGGAGGACTAGTCAAGAGGAGGT